CCATGCTGCATCCAGAAGAATATTTATCTAAGGCAGGACTTGCCCTCAGGATTTGGGCACAGGCTAATACACCATCAGGCCAGGGAGAGCAGGGGAGGTCAGGCCTAAGAGCACTCATGAGTGCATCAAAGCACTAGTAAAGACATGGCCCCAGAGCAGGGGTAGGCAACATTTTTTTGGCCAGAGTGCCAAAACCTCCCCCCACACAATGCCTACTTTGGAAGGTGCCAGAGTGCTGGCATGCCAGAAAAACAAAACAAGGGCAAGGGCTATGTGGCAGGATGCCCCGCTTGTGCCCCTTGCCCCCCAGCCCAGCCCCAATGCATGCCAAGGAAAAATGGCCTCACATGTCATGCCTGGCATGTGTGCCAGGGGTTGCTGACCCCATCCTAGAGCCTGAACAGCAAGGCTCACAAGGTGGAGGAATACCATCTGTTGCCTCAGCTCCTGCAGCTGGAAGAGAAGAGAGACAGGCCACAGGCTTAAGTGCACTTTTCTCCAGGCTGCAACACGATGGTTTTACTGGGAGGCAGAATTAGTAAGGCAGGCAGTGAAGTGGCCACACGATGGCACCAGAACCTAAGGCGCCCCTGCAAACACCTGCCTCTGAGTATGGATTGCCTGTCAATAACAGCTACTTGAAAAACCATTCTTAGTTCTCTGGGAGACTGACCCATGTGCTGAAGACAGGCAAGCTAACCCTGTAACTAGAAGCTGGTCTTGCAGGCAACTGAGTACAAGGGCAGAAGTGCCCTATTCCTTATATGTGGACATCTGGGTTTGTGACTCAAAGCTGGATTATGGATAAGTGCAAAGCTGGGACTGTCCAGAACCATCTTCAGCTGCGCAGAGATCCTTTGGCAGGAGGAAGAAGACTTGGGGGTTAGAAGTGCATCAGAAGCCGAATACAAGCCAGAAACACACTCCTGTTGCTAAAAAGTCAACAGCATCCTAGGTGGTGTTAACAGGAATGTTACTTGCAAACCAAGGAAAGTGATTCTGTGGAGTTCGCAAAGTGGAGGGGGGGGGGGCACAACAGACCATGTCTAAAAGGGGTCTACAAAAAAAGCTAACTATGGTCAATCAGAAGTATGTGAATACCCACATTTACAATTCAAAGGGGTACACACCTACAAAAGTTGAATGGGGTCTACAAAATGGGGGGAAAAAAAAAAAAGATTGGGAAAAAAAAAAAAATCAAGTCTACTCTAGTCAGCACTGGTGAGGTCCCACATTTCAAGAAGGGTGAGAACAGATTACAGTCCAATGCAGAGCAATGAAAGTGATGAGAGGCAAGATCTACAAGGACAGACAGAGAGCCTGGAGAAGGAGACCAAGGAGGGAAATTGATAATAGCCTTCAAAATAACCAGATTAGCAATTAGATAGTAAGGGCAATTATAGAGAAGAGACATGGGCTTCTCTGTGGCTGTAGGGGACAGGACAAAAGCCTCACACTGCAGCAGGGGACATTTAAGTTGGAGATTTAATAGCAGCCTTCAACTATCTGAAGGTGGTTTCAAAGAGGATGGAGCTAGACCAGTCTCAGTGGTGGCAGGGGGCAGAACATGGAGCACGGGTCTCCAGTTGCAGCAAGGGAAGTTTAGGCTAGGTCTTATGTGGAGGGTAGTTGGAACAAGTTACTCAGGCAGGTTGTGGAAGTTTCCATCCTTAGTGTTTTAAGATCCAGGTAGACAGTCTTGACTGCAGTAACATAGTTGGGAATGGTCCTGCTTGGCACAGGGGTTTGGACTAGATGATCTCCTGAGGCTCCTTCCAACCCTCATTTTCTAGGACTATGACCTTGAGCAGAGGGGCAAGGCCCTCCAGTCAGGAACCTCCAAGTTTATTCCCTGCAGGAGCATTGGTGTCAGAACCCATTAATTAGATGCCTATAGCATAGAGGAGAATTCCATTGGTTTGATACATATGGCACAGTTTTGCTGTCAATCATTCTGGTGGCAGTAACTAGGTCATGGTGGAAAATTCTGCTATGCCTGAACCCAGTAACCAAGTGCTACAGTAGTGGAAAATTACAGCTTAGAAAAATTTCCCGCCATTCATATGCAAATATGCACACTATTATTGGCTGATCCTAAATTATTCTTGTGGCGATTAGCTTGCTAGCCATATAAGTTAAGAGCAGTTTCCACCCAAGTTGGAGAACTCTGAGCACGTGAGAGAGTGCGAACTCTGTATACATCTCAGAGGCAACTTGGAGGACTGATCACCCGACAAGAACTCCCCGTCACCGACCCAAATTTAGACGTAAACCGACGACTGCTGGCCCGTACACCTCTGCAGACCGACCTAACGAATCCTGTACCTGTTACAACTGTAATCTAAGTCAGGTTTCATCCTGCACTGTAACCATCAGCAGTGTAAGTAAACAATCCATTCGTTACCAATACCCATCTGTGCCCAATTCCGCTTCATCGGTCATAAGTACCCGCCTGACATTCTGGGCTCCCGGCCAGAGCCCAGCAGCCGGTCAGCCACCACAATTGGCACACACCATAGTCCTCGGCCTGGGCTGCAACCAATACCCAATACTTAAGGGGAAGTTCCAGAAGTAAAGAGCCTGACAGCATTGCCTAGGGAGGGGAAGCACACAGGGAACTCTTCCTGGCCCCTCACTCCCTGCCCACAGCCCTCTGAACCCTGATAGTGCCCCTCACTCTGCACTGCCACCCTCATTGCTGCTGGGTGACCACGGGGCTTGCAGCAGGAAAAAGCTTCCCTATCTGGGCCTGCTCTGTCCTGCCACCCTGGGTCCCACCACTGGGCTGGGGAGTCCAAGCCTGCAGCAGGCAGCCCGCATCTGCCACCATACATAGGTCGGGGGCGGGGGGTGGCGTGGTGGCACATACCCTCCTGCTCCTCTGGGACTGCATGCACTGGCAAGGAACCAGCTCCCCCCCAGTTCAAGCTGCCTGAGGCCCCATCCACTGCAGCCATGCATTCCAGCCCCAGGCCCCCCATGTACTGACCCCCTGCTCAACTCCTCCTCTCCCTATGGAGGCCTCAATCCCACCCTTGCCAGACTTACCTGCAGGAGCTGCTCTCCAGGCTGCTTAGTGGCCTTGTGCATGCGTATGTGTGCATGTGCACACAGTACCCCCTGCCAGACTGCCCTCTTCCCACTTGCCCCAGGCCCTTGCAGGCTGGAGCTCTGCCAGCCTGCAGAGCGCTCTTTGCAAGAAGTGCAAAATCCACCTGTTTATCTGTTAAAATGAGAAACCATTGTTTTTCTTCAGATAAAGGGAAATTTGCCTTTTCTCCTGTTTTTCTAGGGGAAAGTGGGAAAACCTGGATACCTGATAATGAATTATACAGGGACATGGACACAGGCACATCACCCCCAGTTGGTTCCAAGTGGGGTAAGACCACCTCCTGGTGGGCAGGTTGCTCCACAGACAACTTCAGCCCTTCTGAGACACCAAGGATGAGGCATGGACCACAGACTGGAAGGACTCTGGGCCTTTGGAACAGACCCACCTAGAAAGAAGCAGTGGTGGAGCAGGCTGGCTACACCAGACCAGTGATTCTCAGTCAGGAGGCAGAGGAGGATAATAATAGGCAGTTCTTTGTTTCACTTTCTTGACTACAGAAAAATTGTAGAACTATTCATGTGTGGCAGAGAATGGATATACCCCAACAGTGCAGGAGGGGATTTTGGACAAAAATTCCTATTGGAAGTCACTTGGTTCACATGATGAATCCAGAGTAGGCATTTGCTTGTCTCACTGTACTAGCACTATAGGGCACTCTTAAGAGGATCCTATGGTACCCCACAGAGCTACAGCACCCTGGTTGGGAACACCCTCCTCCCCCCAAGAAATCCCAACACTGGACTAGAAGGTCCCATTCCCAGTCTATGGCACTGGGGTGGAAGCAGCAGGGAGAATGAGGAAAGAGACTCTCAGTTACACCTTGCTGCCCTGTCCCCTAGTCCCTACCAGAAGAGCTAGTGGGCACTTCTCACCATGGCCAGAACATCCCCACCCCCCAAACTCCCTTCCCCAGCAGAATCTGCCTTCCTACAAGCTTAAAAGTTCATACCAAGTCACAGCAACTTTCAGGTGTCAGAGTCTAGTCCTTCAAGGGGAGGTGCCTACCCCAGCTGTCCCAGAGCTCAGTGCTCCCATCTTGGGCACATGCATTACCCCAGCAGTGTGGCTGCTCCTTCATGGGACCCTGCTTCACTCCGTGAGGGACAGGCCTGCATGGGGTAAGCCAGCTGTACAGAGCCCTGCCTCATAGGCTGCAGTGACTGAGGCAGGGGCAGGCTCTGGAACGTGACAGCTGGAGGGATTCTCTCCTTGCCTTTGTACAGAGGGCCTGAGTGCTTGAGGAGACCATCACACTCAGCTTCTCCCCTGCTCATTTCTGGTGCTCTATGGCTCTCTGCTCTGGGCTTGAGCCCTCTCAACTAGGACTGGAGGCCAGGGTGCTCTGCCCATAGCCAAGGTCAATAGGAGCCAGGTGGGAATGGCTGTGAATGCAGATCCATGCACAGAAGCTGGTTCTACTCTGTGCCTTTCAGGCACTGGGTCCAGTCAGGGTGAACTGGCTTGAGTGACCCCAGGAGTCCAGGCTCCCAGCCCCCTCCATGCCACCTCCCCCAGGGGCAGGGATAGATTTCAGAACTGATCCCCAACCCTGCTCTGACCAGGATAATCCACCCATTCCACAAGTGGCTGGCTGGTACTGGAGGAGACCTGGATGCCACGTCCGTACTCAATTGCCCTACAGGACAGGTACATAAGGGTCAACCCCTGCTTTAAGCCAGGCCCCACTTCCACACCACTGCAGGCTCCAATTAGCCCTAGACCAGCCCCAGCCCCTGATGCCCTTCCACCAAGTCTCTGCCCAAGGCTAGACCTAGCAGGGAACCCAGAAGTCCTGGCTTCCAGGTCTCCAAGCATTACAACCCAACAGGAACAGGGCTCAGCCTTCGCTCATCCCATCCAGCATGAACATACAAGGCTGCAGCACACATTGCATTGTAAAAGGTTGTTACTAGTTTGGGCTGGTACAAAGCTGGAGCTGCCTAGCACAGGTTGCCAAGCACAGGGCTCCACAGATGGCAACATCATCAATGTGGACCACACTGCCTGCATCTGGGCCCAGGACACCTTCTAGCACCACCTGTAGGAGACAGAGCCCAGCATCAAGGTTCTGGCAGACACACACACACACACCCTTCACAGCTGGCTGCCAGCCCCACATCTTCTTCACCCACAGGGGAACACAAGTGGGACAGGAGAACTTCTGGGTCTACCCTTCAGCTCCAAGCATGTTCTAGGCAAGTCCTTGTACCCCTGGGGGGGCATCAAGCATCTTCCCAAAAGCCAGGTGCCCACTTTAAGAGGAAGGGGGGGGGGGTCTTCAGGGGCTCAGAGCTTTAGGCTAAGCCCTAAGGGTTTCACCTGCAGTCTCTGCATCCTGAAGGTCTCCATGGTCATGCGCTGCCAGCCAGTGCTCTGCTGCCCCTTGGCTGACCAGACCCTGTGCCAGGCAGGGGAGCCTTCATACTGGAGATAGACATTTATTGTGCCTACCAAGGGAGGAACAAGAACAGGCTTAGTGCCACAGGAGACATGGCTGTGGGCACCCATGCCACCCAGGACTGCCAGCAGAGCAGAGCCAGGCTGTAGCTCAGAGAGCCAGGTACTCCTAGCTGGGCTGTTACTGGCCCACCCACATGAGTCAGCTGCACCCTGGAGCTCTGTGCTCTTTGGCCCAGACCCTAGGCCTGGGCAGAGGCTTGGTTTGGTGGCAAGGTCTAGGATGGGAAGCACCTTGGTCATTAGAACCCTGACAACTATAGCCCTGGCCAGTACATGCTCCCCTCCAAGGGAGGAGGGGAACATGGGCCCCATAGCCATGCTGGACACCTCGCCCACCCAAGCTCTCAAAAATCGCAGGATCAACCTGTGGTTGCAGCTTACTCATGCCACAGCCCATGGGGCAGTACCAGAAGAAGATGCATCCAATCCCATGGAAAGTGGGGCTGATGACAGCAGCCATCTTGCCAGGGGCCCAGTGGATGAAGGGAGCCTTAAGGGAGAGGAAGCCACCTGTAGGAAAGACGACTATGCACTGAGGGTTGCAATAAAAGATGTGCATCCCAGGTCTATGATGCAGAGAAGCCTGGGAGATGCTTAGTGTCTGTGGCTCAGGCCTGGGGTCCTCAGGAAAACCAAGTGTTAAGAGGGAGAAGCAGTAGGGAATGTTTCTAGGACTCCTGGGTCCCTTCCCCTCTGTGCCCCAACCTGCGCAGCCTCCAAGGCAAGAGCCCCTGGCTGCCAGCAAGCTCATCCCAGGATAGAGCTGCAAGCCTGGTGTCCCTGCCTGCAGGGGGTAGATAGCCACTTCTGGGGTAGAGACCCTGGCAATGGGGTGTTGGCTCCCTGGGCCAGAAGATTTTGGGTCCAGTCAAGCAGGGCATGGCTAGGGGCTCTCATGGAGGCAGGACTTACCCCAAGAGGGACTGCATGAGGGGTCAGATCTACTGTGGTCGCTGGCCCCAGCCGACAGGCTCTGCCAGACAAGAACCCAGTCCCGGTCATCCTTCACACTTTGCCACCAGCCACACAGGCTCTGCTCAAAGTTGCAGCCCTGCCACAGGGGCAGCCCTGGGGTTGCCACCACCTGTGGGATGCTGGGCATAGCATCAGCAGGGCCAGGCAGATGCCAAGGTAGGGAAACAGCAAGGGACATGCCTCCTGCAGGTGCAGCTGTAGAAGGCCAGAGTGGAGCAGGTGCTATGGAGAGAGCAGTGGCATCTGAATGGCTGGCAGGTGCCAAAGTGATCAGCCTTCCCTGTGGAGTCAGTAGAGGCCTCCTGGATCTGAAGCGCAGTATGACTGGTCCCCCAGGAGCCCCAGCGCTGCTCTGCTCCTGCACCATTGGTTCCAGTGGGGTTCCAGCCTTGTCATGTGCCCCCTCAGTACTCAAGATGGGCCGAGCAATTCCTGGGGGGTTGGGAGTAGCTTTCCTGCCATTTGTCAGGGCTTGCAGGGTCAGCCATTTGTTTGCCAGGCTGGGGGTGGCTGTGAGGGACCGCATCTCCAAGGGAGTCTGGTGCTGCTCTGTAGAAGGTAGGCCACGTCTCAGCCCTCCATGAGACACTGGAATACCATGCCCTGGGCTTCCAGGAACAAGGGGTCCAAGTCCCACCACTGAAGAGCCTGCAGGCCAGGTCTCAGGTGTGGAGGTCATGAGCCGAAATGGAAACCCTCCGAATGCTGTGGAGACTGTAGACTGGGAGTGCCAAACCCCTTGAGGAGGCCAGGCCTGTGGAGTGGGTGCATGGAAATAGCCCTTCTTTCTAGGGTCACTTTGAGAAGTAGGGACATCTTTTGGGCTGTTCTGCATCTGTTCTTTTGGCACAGCTTGGCAAGGCTCTGCTATGCTTGTTCTACTCAGCCGAGGCCACCCTACGGGCCTTTGGGCCTCTGCCCCAGCAAAGGCTGTGCTCCAGGTCTTCTTGCACCTGTGAGCTGCACCATTCACAGTCTCAGCAGTTTTAGCTGATGGCCTGCTGCTCCCCTCTGCCAGCATAGAGGAACCATGGGGTAGGGCTAGTGACACTGGTGCAAGGTGATGTTGGGCCACAAGAGCCTCCAGAGGAAGCACAGAAGATGCCACAGTGGTTTCCATTTTAGCAATCCCAGTTAATACTGCCAAGAAGGATGGAGTCTCCCCAGCATCCACCTGCCTGTGAGTGGTGGTGGTGGCGGTGACTACCTCTGCATACCCTGCCAGAGACCCTGGGGAAGCCCTCTCCATAGCATCTCCATGAAGGCCTACAGCCCCCACTGCTACAGGGTCATGTCCATAACCTCTCCCAGGTCTGCTCCATGCACATGGGCTTTGGCCTTTTGTGGTTTCAGTTCCCAGTTCTTGTGGGCCAGGAGCTCGGGGCAGTGAAGCCAAAAGCAGTGGCAAGGTTTGCTTGGCAGGGGGCCCACCATAGCAGGGTCTCATGTCCAGAAAAGGCTTCTTGATAGTGGCTACAGGAGCTTGTGTGTTGGTGGTTGGGACTTGACTACTTGCCTCTTCCTCACAGACCAGGGTCCATTTCTCAAGCACCCTTGGCACAAAGGTTCTTATAACAGGCCCCAGCTCAGTCTTTGGGGCAGGCTCTGAAGGGGCAGCTTGTCCACCTCTCATCCTGGTAATGCCTTCATCCACCTCCATTCCCCACTCCAGCACATTAGCAGAGGACTCCAGAGACAGCATGACTTTGACAGGAGTTGCTTGCTCTGTAGCACTGGTCACTGCTAAGGTAGTGGCTGGTCTGGAGACATTCTGAAGCCTCTTCTGCTCAGGTAGACCCGCTTCAGTTCCCAGCTCACCAGGATGGGCAGCCTGAACCACTGAAGCTCCCCAGGCTGACAATTCTCTTGTCAGAGTTGTTGTGTATTTGGGTTCTGTTGCTGTAGAAGGTGCCAGGAGGGAAGCAAGAGTGTACATTTGTTCTCTTTTCTTCCGACGGAAAAGTCCAGCTTTCTTCTCCTTCAGCTCACGCCATCTGCTGGCAGAGGAGACAGCCAACTGAACAGCAGAGCTTGCACCTTCTGCAGTCCCCACATTCAAGGCTGTTCTGGGGCTCTTGGAACCCTGTGGGGAGAGCAAGGTGGAAGATGGTCCCCTACCTACAATGGGAAGGGGCACAGATCGGGTCAGCCCTGTTTTATTGCCATGGTTACTTACAGAGTCTTGCACCCTCATCTCAGTTCGGTCAGATGCTCGGGATAGCCGTGCCACCAGGGAGGTGGCAGGATCTGAGAAAGACATGGTGGCTTCCATATTCATCCCTGGAGAGAACATGCCTGGTTGAGTAGGAGAAGTGTGGTGGTACATGCTAGTCTTAGTGGTTTCCACCAGTCCCAGCTCTGTGCGAGTCTCTGAAATACCAACTTGGAGGTACTTGGGTCCTCCTGAAAGCAAGCTCGGGCCCTTCTCCTGTAGAGCAAAGGCACCCTCAACTCCCATCTCAGTTGGATTAGCAGCCCAGGACTCAGAGAACACTAGTGCAGTGGCCTGCGAGCTCACAGGCATGGCCATCTCTAACCTGCCACTGGCAGCCATATCTTGGCCATGACCTTTTGGGGTTGTTCTCATCTCATCATGAGAGACCCCCAAGGTCTCCTGGGTGGAAGCCATCCAAGAGTTGCTCTCCTTTTCATACAAGGAAGACCTTGCCGGGGCAGTTGTAGGCTTATTACTGGCTAGGCTGGTGGTCCATTTTTCACCCTCCCCCTCTCCAAGGGGGGCTGTGGAGTCTGTTGCAGCCAGCTCAGTAGGTGGCTTCATACCAGACTCTGGCTCTAGAGATGAAGTCCATGTTGGGATGGGCAGGGAGGGCAGGTTGGACAGCAGGTGGACCACTGACCCCAGGAATGGGGAGACATCTCTTCTTCCCATCGTATGCAGCCAGGCTTCTCCGATCTCAGCAGCAGCTAGTCCAGGAGAAGTCAGTTCCAGGAGTCCCAGCTCCCCAGGGGGAGTTTCGGTATGGCCTCTAGTGGTATCGAGTTTGCCAGATGCCTCCACATAGTGGCTCATAACTTCAGGATGCGTTTTGCCCTCCAGCAAGGAGGGCTCAGTAGGACCCCGCTCCTCAAGGGCTTCTGTTCCCAAGAGTGATGTTGTTTCAGAGACAGAATCTCTCTCCACTCTCTGTTCTGTGCTGGCATCTGCAAATCCCATCTCCGTGGTCACCTGCACTATTGGTTCCACAGATTTCATGCTTCCTTCACTGGGTAAGGTGGTCAGTGGAAGGCTACCTGCAGGAAACTGAGAAACACTGGGTTCTTCACCTTCCAGCATGGTCTGGGCTGAGGGCACTACTGTCCCTGCTCTGGGGCAGTTGGAGGCTGCTTGTTGGGCTGTTCCAACAGGGTGTGTTCCTGGAGAGGAGGCCTTGATTTTGCTTTCACGTTCTGTTAGGCAGGAGTCCAAGTCACCTGGATGGGACACTGCTGTAGTCTCTGACAAGGCACGGGCAGTGGAGGTCTCTAAACAGACAGAAAGGGTGTTGTGGAGTAGACAGACCCCCCCTCCAAGCTGCCTATGGTCACAGATGAAACAAGCCTATAGAATATCTTCAGTATTTAAAGTCATCAAGGTCTTACCCATGCCAACCAGCTTACCCGAATGGACTGGTATCCTTTTTCTGTGGGATTACCATATTTACTCACATGCCCAGTTCCCCCCCTAAATCAAATCAAGCTAGCCCTCCAGAGTTAGAGGTGCTTAAGTGTGGAAGCTGATTTCTCTTTGCTGAAATAGAAGCACTGTGCTCAAATGGCTGCTGCTCGTCTCTAGTCCCAGAAAGCATAACCCTCTCACAGCCACAGTAGCTACTAGCTGAGCACTACAGATGGTGCATGATTGAACTGGCTCAGGGTAAGGGAGTTACCTCCTACAGTCTGCAGTATCTTGAGGATGCTTATGGGGTGGAGGAAAGAATCTACACATACACAGGAGCTTATAGTAGGCAATTCCTCCCCTCCCCCACCTCTTATTTCTTTTCTTCTTCATGCCAAATAGTAACAGTCTTGCTACTGGCCTTGCAAGGGTTTGGGGCCTAGCTTTGTTGCCATCCTACACCAGAGAGGTCCTGCTGCCTCATTCAGACTGTACCATAGGAGTAAGTAGTCCTGGAAAGTGTCCAGGGAATGTGGCATCCCAGAAGACAGTCAACTATGACTGGAAAAAGAGTCTTTGAGGGTATGCTATAGGAAAAGAGGTGCATCTTATCTGGGGGCATGTGGTATGCAAGAACATGCGAGTTACCTGCATCCAGATTTCAAGTTCCAGCATGCACTGCCCTTCCACAAGTCACTGTTTTGAGGCTCTACCTCCCCTGCCCCAGGGTTAGTGGTTCCCCTGGGCAGGCCCTTCTCCCTTCCTAGAAGCAGGCTGATCTCCAGTCTCTAGTATCAAATCAAAGAGCAAGACAAGCACCAAGCAGGAGCATTCATGTGCTCCTTACCGAGTTCCATCCCCGTCTGAGAACACTTGTACAGCCTATTAACCCTGGCTATGTCCGAATGGCTCAGATAGTGCCTCTGGCCCAGTGCCATGTGGGGATCAGCAAGTGGTGTGATGGTGGGCCAGCCCGTCCTGCTGAAGGCATACCTAGAAGATAGTCAACAAGAAACTGGCTGGCATGTGGAGCAGAGATCTGCAAGCACCAGGTCACCTGTCTGCAACAGTTCCTAGCCCAGGGCTGCACTCACCTGCCATAGTGCAGGATGGAGGAGTAGTCATAGCCCACCAGCATGTTGGTAGTCCATGCTTTCATGAAATTGACTTCAAATCCTGCAAGGCAAGAGCAAGAACTGCTCATTCCTGCCTCAGATGTCACTTGCCCTTTGTTGGGGCAACACATTTAAAGTGTAGTAGTTGGAAGAAGCAGGTTCTTTTAGTTCTGAAGAGTAGGACATGTCTGGCCATACCTTCATGACATCTTGACAAGCGGGATAGCAGCAGGAAACCTGCTTTTTTGCTTTGAGTGGGGTTTTGGCACTAAGCAGCCCACTGACTCAGGAGTGGTGGGGGTGGGCTGGGTTGTGCCGCTTCCAAAAGGCTTTAGGAGACAGAAGCTGTAGGCCTTGCTAGAAAACAGGATTAAATGCAGCCACTGACCCATGCACATTCAAAAGAGTCAGAGGCCTCACTAATAGTGCAAACAGAAATAGGCACCAATGAATACAGAACTAGGTATAAACTGTAGCTGGCTTTGGAATTTCCTCTAAAACTGAGCTACTTTTCCAGTATTTCTGTGCAAGCCATATGTATACATGTGGCTTGCACAGAAATGCTGAAAAAGTAGCTCAGTTTTAGAGGAGATTCCAAAGCCAGCTACAGTTAGTTGGCAAGATTAGTGCAAGACATGAAAACAGAGGTCAGAGTAACCTGGCCACAGGTGTCCCTACCTTATGGGAAGATTGCATTAACTGGCAAGAAGTAGGTTGTGGAAGATGTTGCCTCAATGTTTTAGTAATTGAGGACAACTAGGACATATCTGCTGCAAACATGAAGTTGGTTTTGATTGCTGTGTAAAGAGGGGTCTTGGAACCCTCAGTACTTTGTACTGGGCTTTCAGGTTAGTTTTCATGCCTGAAAATTGACCCAGTTAGTACCATGTACCAGTTGGCCATGGATGCTAGTATCTAGGTTTGTTGTATGGACAACCCTGGCCAAGCTTGGTACTGAGAAATGAAGTCCGCAATTTCTTAGACAGTCTCAGAGTCACAGCATCAGACTGTATCCTGACATGATGCACATGGACCATCCAAACCGAAGGAGCCCAAGGTGACCAGCAACACCTAACCCCATTAGGGAAGTTGGTCAGCAGAACAGGAACTTTAGAAAAAGCACTCCCTCCATCCCTCTCCCAGCTTCCGTGACCTCCGTAGAGCCAGCCCAGAACAGTGGAATGAGTAGAGAGGACTCACCAGTCAAGATGTCATTCCAGGAGATCTTGATGTACTTGTCCCGGTCAGCTCGGGAGTGCTCGTGCCAGAAACCTACCACGTGCATGAGCTCATGTAGTGCTACTCCTTTCCCTCTCTGGAGGCAAGCAGGGTCCAGCGAAACCACCTGCATCCCACCGGCACGGCCCACACTGGAGAAACACCTGGACAAACCAGGAGGCAGCACTCATTTGGGGGAGGGGGAAGAGGGGGCACAGCTTCAGGCTGGGCAGCCATTTTCATGCCAGGGATAGCTCAGGAGGTCACTATAGGAACACATCTATCTTCAGCCACGTTGGGGTGGGGCCAAGCTCTACCTCAAGTTGCATTCAGACAGGGACTGTGCCATAGGTACCAAGCCCCGTCTCTGGTCAGATGTTGGACCAATGGCCAGAACATGCCCAGATTAAGTTGGTGGCAACTACCCCCTTCAAAACTACCAGGGCAGCTGCCAAGCATCTCCAATGCAGAACATGTTGCCATCTCCCCTTCCACCATCAGTAGAAGTTGTTAGGAGTACTGAGTGCCAGAAGCCAACCTCATGCTCCTCTGAGATGCTGCTGGATTGTGACCCCCATCATGGCCCAAAAGGTACATCCATCAGGGAACAGATGGCAGTTCACAGGGCAGCTGAGATCAAGACTGGTGCTGGACATAGCTTATTCAGGGGTGGGTACTGCATGACTTTGCTCTGGACCTGCATCTAGAACTTGGCCACATTGGTCAGAGACCACAAGCGAGGGGGGCAGGGAAGGAAAGGTGTCAAACTGGGCTAGGAGTATCCTGTGCTCCTTCAGTCACTGGTGCAGAGCCCATCACTGCTCAGCAGAAGGAAGCCCGCACCAGGTGCAAATGGTCCAGTGTTCCAGTCCTTGCAACTATGGAAGCGGGTGTTTGAGCAGTATGGTTTGATCTCTGCTGCCTGGGATGGGAGTCTGGCAGGCTCAGTTCTGCACCATGGAGTAAAGAATGCACAGAGGTTTCCCCCAAGGGGCTAGTCAGCATGGGGGATCTATAACAGGGCCTGCTTAGGTAGTAGCTTTGAGCCCTGGGAGCTTGCAAGAATGAGAACACATCAAATCAGTGGGAAGCCAACTGGGGGACCTTGCTTCCACCTCCAAGCCTGGAGGGCAGGGATGCACCAGCTGCCCCTGCCCAGGACTCACCCAGCCACAGGCAGGATAGAGATGAAGTCCTTCTGGTATGACCGTGGCACAAACTTGACACAGGTGAAACGGGCAAAGTCTGCAAAGGCCTCCTGGATGACTGCCATGCTGGCTGCATCTGGGCAGGGGGAGAAATGGGATCCCTCAGCAGTCACTCCACAGCCTCTTGCTGGCAGATTCCAGAACCTTGGCCCACATGGTACCACTGACCTTGCTCCCCAGAAAGTGGCTAGCTGGCATTTAAGACACCTCCTGCCCCATCACCACATAGCTGATGGGCTGTGAAGCAAAGCAGGCCAAGGTGGGCATAGAACACCCCTCAAGTGACAAAGAAGCCATCTTCTTGTCAGTTCAGCCTGGCATCCTCTGTACCCTTCTCCAAGGAACCAGGAGTCCCTTTGGGGGGGGTCTTCAGACATCTTTGGTCACTCATACATGGGTTTGGGCACCCAAGAGAGAAGGCCACTGACCCAGAGTCAGCACCTACCATACACGTGAGACAGGATGTAGGGAATCCTGACGACCCCTTTCCTCTTTAACCACCTCGGGCTCACCACCGACAGTGCTCTGGAATGGCCCTGAAGGAGACAGCAAGCATGTTGGGCGATTGCTATTGGAATCCTATCAGATTTCCCCGTTCAAGAGGTATCTGCTAGTTCCAGACCCTCACAGAAGAGGTCTTCTAGGAGTGCTCAGCAGCCTATGACCCAAGGGCAAGATCTAGACTACAAAAGAGACTGCATTTTGCCCAAGGCCAGGATAACCCCCACCCCAGCCTTTTCTACTTCCTCCCCTCCCCTGTGGAAGAAGTGCAATCCCTTACTACAGCGCCTACCTTTGCTGCCAAAATTTACATTGCCAATTGCTGCTGGCAACAGAAAACAAAACCCCCCCAAAACAAACCAAAAATAAAAAAAGTGGCACTGGGCACCAGGGTAAGTGGCAGCAGTAGGCAGGGACAAGAGCTGTGAGATTGCAGCTACGCTCACATCACAGATGTTTAGGACTGGAAGGGGCCTTGTGAGATCATTGGGTCCAGCCCCCCTGCTCTGGGCAGGAAAGACTGCTGGGGTCAAATAACCCCAGCAAGGTTTGTGCCCAGTCTCTTTTTGAACATCTCTGGGGTAGGTGCCTACACCACCCCTGCTGGTAGTCTATCCACACATTGTGAAGAAATTTTTTCTTATATCTAAATCTGAAACCTTCTAGGAGTTTATGACCATTGCTCCTGGTTTTCCCCTGGGGCACTTTGGTGAATAGTTGTTCACCTAGACCCTAGTGCTTGCCCTGGATATATTTGTAAGCTGCCACCAAATTCCCTCTACCCACCCCCAAAAGTCTTCTCTTTTCTAGGCTGAGAAGTCCCATATCTGTTAGCCTTTCCTCGCATGATTAGAGGCCTGAAGAGGAAGCCATACAAGTGGCTCTTCTCTGGACTCTCCCAAGCTTCTCCACATCCTTCTTGAAGTGTGCACCCAGTACTGGACACAGTACTCCAGCTGCAGCTTTACCAATACCAAGTAGAGTGGGAGAATAATTTCCTTAGTTTTGCTTGAGATGCATCAGTTGATGCATGCCAGAGTATTGTTGCCAATGTACATTGGCAAACATGTAGGGGGTGCATGCAGGTGCACATGCACCCCACCCCCCCAAGCATGGCAGTGCACCCCCTACAAAAAGGTGCCACCAATACTGCCATCGATGTCTGTGGGTGGCCCACAATTGCCACTGGCTGCCACCGCCACTGGTGTGCCATCCCCCCTCCACTGCTGCCGCCAGTGCTGCAGCTGCCTGCCGGAGCTTCCCGCTTACCAGCACCACGCTCCCACCACCACTACTGCCTGCTGGAGTTCACCATGCCCCCCTCTCCCCCACCCATGCGGTGTTCATGCTAATGCAAGTCGCACCAGCACCCCGAGCAGCAACAACCCAGGGGCACATCTGCAGTATAGGTCACCTGGGTCCCTGCATAGGTCCTGCAGGCTCATTCATTCACCTCCCTGATCACAAGGCCTTTACCAGCACCCATGGAAGTGGGGACTGACTTGGGGCAGGTTTCAGGTTTGGCATGGTCCTCTGCCCAGGACTCATAGCACCCATGGTATAAACATTAAGATCCAGGAGTCACTGCTTGCTATATACAGTATAATCCATCTGCCAAGATTTGCATTGATGTAACACCCTGGCTCATTTCAGCACATGTTCTCCTTGGGGCAGCTCTACCCCATGTTTAAAAGGCACTTAAATCAATGCAAGCCAGTTTCTTGCTAGGGTAAGCCCTCCTGCAGTGAGCAGGTCTCTATAGCACCCTAATGTACTGACAGCTTGTGCCCCAAGCTCTAGGAAGGACAAGTTAAGGTCTGTTGTTGGAATCATCTGCACATAAATAAGCATGTGAATATCAGCAGCTAATTATGAGATTGCTGATAGCATAATTGGGGGGGAAAAAAAAAAGAGGGAGGGAGAGCAATGCCATGCTGGGACAAACCAACTGTCTAGATGGCCCAGCATCCTGTCACCAATGGATGCAGGAGTGGATGCTTTGAAGGGAGAGCATTGAGAAAGGTTCATCTAGAGTAATCAGAACCCCTCCCCCCACCCCAAATCATCCATTTAGATATGCTAGAGGAAAAAGTTTCCAACTCTTCTGTTAATAGACCTATTGCCTATAAATTTAGTTTCTTTTTGAACCTGGCTATAATCTGCCTTTACAAGCCTCCTGTGGGAATGAGTTCCACAAGTTAGTTGCGTGCTAAAAAACCAACATGACAAAGTGCTTTAAGCCTCTCCTGCTAATTTCAGTGGGTGTCCCCTGGCTCTTGTGTTCTGGGACTTGGTGAAGATGATTCATTGCATCCACACCTTTAATATGGCAGATTGCACCTTTGCAGTCCCACACTCTGCATGAGCTGGACAGGCACAAGGCTAAATAGCTGTTCTTGAAATAGTCCTAGCTGTTGTGATGGGCAGTGTGGAAGCCAGAATGCTGGGAGTAGCCCAGTCTGCTTTGTGCCTGCCCATGGCACAGCCCTCCTCGTCAGACAGTGGTGGCCAGGACGGCCTTGAGCTAGTAGAATCAGGAGGGCTCTGAGCCTCTGCCCCTGCCCTCCTCCAGGCCCTTTGTGGCACAGCACTGGATGCAGGTATGTGTCCTATAGAAATGCCTCACTGGTACAAACCCTGGGCTCTCCCTGAAAGTGTGGGGCATGGCTGGTTTGTTCCTACCCTGGCACCTTGCACTCACCATCTTGACAATGTCACCCTCCATCAGAAAGCTGCTCTCTGGGGCCTCTTGGGGGACAAGGTCTGGGAACACAAGAGTCAATGTCATTCAGGGTAACCTGGGCACTTCACCTGCCTCCCTTTCCAGGCAGGAGACAGCAGGGTCTGTACATTGGGCACCCAGAAGCCACCCAACAGGCCTCAGAGCAGCCTATCAGCCACTGCCTGTTGCCATACCTGGGCACTACTCCCATCCTTCCCCGACTGGTCTTTAGGCCACTGCTCATCCCCAACAAACCTTCAGGACCAAGGGAAAAAGGATCCCATCCAGGGTCCTTCAGATGAGAGGGAAAATTTCAGCCTAGCATTGGCAGGAGGAGCTCAAGCCACTTCACAGCTGCAGCCAGGCTTAGTCTTCCTCAAGTGATCCCATGGCATGAGGCTTAGGGACCAGTGTCAGCCACCATGGCAGGTACCTTCTAGGCAGGTCTGGCCCTGTGGTGGGCCCATCCCCACCACAACCTGACCCCGCAACTGCTGCTGGGGAATGGGCCACTACTGCTAGGGTGCCATCTGAGGCTGGGAGCCTAGCTACAGGAGTACCAGGTTCCATGGCAGCCAGGTAAGCGGCCCTGCCACCTACAGCAGTATCAGCCACAAAGCAGAGCAGGGCATGGGTCAGCCTAGCTCCTAGCACTCACAGACTCCGATGCAAGCAAGCAGTTGCCCACCTTTGTTGATGTCAAGGATGTCGTCACCACCACCACGACTCCTTGTCACGCCAGCAGCATTTCCCAGAGGGTTGTGGAAAGTGTCTCCCTGTCCTCCTGGGGCAGGGGGGACAGAAAGAAGAGGGATACCTTATTTAATTTGCACCCCATAAGGCATGGGTGCAAATAAATAGGCTTGTTTTGACAATGCAGAATGAAGTCCCCATTTCTGATGGTTGGTTTTGAAAGAAAGGTGCATGTGGATAAATATGGTACTCTGGTCACCAGAACGCCCTGCAGGCCTGGTGGACAAGCTGAGGCCCATCTCATTGCAGCCACCTCCCATAGCCAAGCCCCTGTGCTGTTGGGAGGCAAATCATGGAGTTGGGCATCAAAGCAGATGCCCCTCAAAAGGCTGAAGTGCCAAGAACCCCTCCTGCAAGAAATCAGGTCCATTAAGCACCCCACCAAAAACAACAACAAAAAGAAAAACCACAACACAACACAGGGTCACAGTCCCCCCCCCCCCCCCCCCCATGTTCTGGCCTCATCCCATCAGCTGTGCTGTGCTCCCTGTGGGCACATTTGGGGGTGGGAAGGGGGGCAGGGCTTGAGATGCTCTGTGGCATTCCCCAAGTGATGATGCCTAAGCCCAAGTAGGCATTTGGGTTTGGGACCTAGCAATAGCACCACAGACCAGAGAGGGCTGCCCAAGCTGGGTAGTGGGACATACCCTGGGCCCTTCCTGGGCATAAACCCCGCTTTGCAGAGAGAGACAAACCCCACAAGGAGCACCCTCCCCATTCTGGCTCTCAATCCCAAGCCCTGGCTCTTGTTGGGGGGGGGGGGGGGGGGGGGTGAAACAGAAGTGCTGGCAAGATCCAGACACAGCCGTTGTGGCAGGAGAGGACAGCTGCTTGCAGAGCTGGAATGGGCTGGGTCTGCAGGGTGTGGGCAGGCTTGAGCACCGAGAATGCCCATGCTGGAAGGGGCAGGCTGCAGAGAAGAGCAGCTCCCCTGGCAAACCCCTGGGATTGGTCAAACGGTGACAGCAGGGTCCACAACAGCTCACTGTCAAGCAGGCCACGAGGGAGTTAGTGCTTTTACTTCTCCTCTGTGTAGGAGACAGACACAGCACAAATCATAGGCTGATAATACTGCTTCACACTTATTCCTCACCGCAAATGAAGCCAATTCTGTCTGACCCCTGGAGCAAGGAGTTCCCAACTCAGAAAGATGGAGGTGGGGGCAGGGGTGCAAATCAGGCCCCATTGTTGCCATAGATCGTGCTTCTTGGGATACAACGCATCTTTTCCCTGAAAGTCATGGGTTGGAAGGGACCTCAGGAGGTCATCTAGGCCAACTCCCTGCTCAAAGCAAGACCAGCCTCAACTAGATCATCCCACCCAAGGCTTTGTCTACCCAGGTCTTAAACCCCTAAGGTCCATAGCCTCTCTGGGTAACCTGTTCCAGTGCAATCAATCAATGGTCTCTAGAGAAGCTGCTGGAGGAAAGAACTAATATTATCCTGTCCCCCACCTTAGGCTACTTTTGTTCTGCCAAAGCCCCCTGAACACTTGCAGTCTTCCTAGCACACCACTTTCCCAGCACAAAGATGAGAGGAGAAAGTCCTTCCTGCATCTCCAGTGTGCTCTGCAGGCACATGCACTATTCTCTCACCCAACACCCCTGCATAAAAGGAACACCTCATTTTCTGAAAAGCAGAATGAATAAAAAAAAAAAATTTTCAGCTTAGTCTTCAGCTCACTCCCCCTCCAAAACCCTACATTGTGCTGAAGGCAAGTCTAGGATTTTTGAAGAGAGCTTTAAAAAGTCTCCAGGGCTGTGGATTAGGAGGTAAGGCCAGGGACAGCTAGCACAGCAAAATTGCCCTTGTAAGTGTTAGTGGAACACAAAGGAGGTAATCACTAATGCTTCTGGAGTAAAGAGTAAGGAGCTATTAAGCCAGACTCCTTCAGCTGCCAAGGTACAAGTGCAATGGCTGCTGCACTGTGGAGCAAGCATCAAGGCAAGTATCAATTTATCCAAGGCAGAGAAAAAAAAAAAAAAAAAAAAAAAAAGAAAGCTTCCCAGTTTCCTAGTTCAGTTTTGGGCCCCTCACTATCGAAAGGATGTGGACAAACTGGAGAGGCCAGTGGAGGGCAAAAAAAAGTGGTTTGGGGGCTGGGACACAACTTCTAAGGAGAGGCTGAGGTAACTGGGCTTATTTAGTTTGGAGAAGAGAAGAGAGGGGATTTAATAGCAGCCTTCAGCTACCTGAAGTGGGATTCAGAAGAGGATGGAGCTGGACTGTTCTTAGTGGTGGCAGATGACAGAACAAGGAGCAATGGTCTCAAGTTGCAGCAAGGGAAGTTTAGGTTAGATATTAGGAAGAATTTTTTCCCTAGGAGGGTAGTAAAACACTGGGACGCTACCCAGACAGGTGGTGGAATCTCCATCCTTGGAGGTTTAAGACCTGGGTAGACAAAACTTTGGCTGGGATGATCTAGTTGGGGCTGGTCCTGCTTTGAGCAAGGGGTTGGACTAGATGGGACCTCCCAAGATCCCTTCCAACCCATGACTTTAGGGAAAAGATGCATCGTACCCTAGAAGCACGGTCTATAGCAACCGTGGGGCCCGATGGCCCTCCCTCAGTCTTTCTGAGTTCAGAACTCCTTGATCCAGGGGTCAGACACAGAATTGGCTTCATTCAGGGTGAGGAATAAGTGTGAAGCAGTGTTATCAGCTATGACTTGCACTGTACCCACCTGCAGCTCAGCTCAAGGGAGGCACAGGTCAGGCCTTCACCCTGCCCAAGTGAAAACAGCCCTGAATAAGTGCCAGGCAATCTACTTGCTCACAACAGGGCCAGTACTTAGGAAGTACCAACCTCCCCACCCATCTGCCCTGAGAAGTCCTCTCCATATGCCTGGTCACAGCAGGCCAGGCCTTCCCAGTTGTCTGGTTGAGAGCAGCTGCTACAGAATCCCAGGGCTGGAAGGGACCTCCGTGGGCATTAGATCCAACCCTTGCATAGACGCAGGACACGAATCCTAGATCATCCCTGTCCAAGGCACATGCAGTTACCTCTTAAAAGCCTCCAGTGATGGCAATTCTACCACTCCCCTGGGCAGCCTGTCTACTGCTTCTTTACGGTTAGAGCTGTAAAGCATTTCCAATCCAAACCTACCTTACCGCAAAACTCCAAGCACCTTGCTGTCTAGCCATGGAAAATGGGTGTTCTCCCTCTTTTCTTTATGGCAGTCCTTCAGCTATTAGGAGACCACTATCAAGCATTGCTCCAAGCTTGACATACCCAGTTCTCTCAACTTGTCCTTCTGCAGCTGCTTTGAGGCCTTCATCATTTGTCACCCACCTCTAGCTTCTCCATGTCCTGCTTAAAATGCAGAGCCCAGAACAGTACACAAAACTCTAGACGAGACTAACCAGCACTGAGTGGAGGCACCATTATCCCTTCCGTCTTGCATATAATGCTCCTTGTTGATGCAGCCCAGAACTCCAGTCATCTCACCTCCTTTTGGAGCACAACAGGCCAATGCTTACAGCATGATGCCTCTGACCTATTGCAATCCCAAGGTTCTTCTCAACTGGCTGAATGGCAGCACTGCTATCTCCCGAGCTGTATTAGCACCTCGGGGGGGGGTGGGGCTCAGAAGTCCAGCACCTTGCATGTCTGCACCGAGCTTCATCCTGCTGACCCCAGCCCAGCTTTCCAGCTCATCAAGATCCATCTTCATTCTACTCCCAGGCGCTAGTGCTTCTACAGTCTTTCCCAACCTTGCATCATCAGCAACTTGCACAGGAAGCTCTGTGCTAAAATCATTAACACTCATTGAACTGCTGTTATGGGTTCAATGCTACTGCAATCTCATTTACAAGTTCCTTCCAGTCTAACACAAATCCATTTATAATAGACTCTTTGTTTGCAGTTATGGAGGCAGATCTTTCTGAAGAAACTGGCGGTGTTGGCTAGACATCATATGGGGCTGTCCAAAGCCTTGCTGAAGTCAAATACACGATGTGCACTGTATCCCAGTCAAGGCACTTAAGGGAGCCCACCCCTGCCCCAGCCCTGGTAAAATCTGTGGGCAAGGAAGGAGCCCCCCAGGGGACACTTACCTGCCTGTACACAAAAGCCAGGAGCTTGGGGAATAAGCAGGAAGAGCTCATCCTCCTGCTCAATGCAAATATGTCATAGGGATAACGGAGACCTGGTGGGACTCCACCCATGACTGAACCATGGGTATAGATGGCTATACCTTGTACAGGAGAGATCGAGTAGATAAAAGGGGCGGGGTGTAGTTCTCTATGTTAAGGAAAGCTACATGTCCCTGCAAGCTGATATTGGTGACCAGGGTGGATGACTTGAGACCCTCTGGGTTAAAATCCATGGGGAACATGGCACAGGGGACACAACGGTGGGAGTCTACTACAGACCTCCCACCCAAAGTCAAGAGCTTGACCAGGAGTTCGCCTGGGAACTGGCTGAGGCTGCATGCTCCAGGACCATGGCTGTCATGGGTGACTTCAACTACTCAGACATCTTGTGGGAGGATCACTCAGCAAAATCCAAGCAGTCGCAAAGTTTCCTATCATGTGTAGATGACCTCTACCTGACTCAAGAAGTTTACAGGCCAACGAAAGGTAAAGTGCTGCTTGACCTGGTACTGGCTACTGGGGATGACCTAATCGGCGACCTAGTGATCAATGGGAAGTTGGGTGATAGTGACCACAAGCTGATCACCTTCACCATCCGCCATAAAGCTGGCAAGTCAGTCAGCAACACTGAAGTCCTTGACTTCAGGAAAGCTGAC